TAAGTTATGATGTCTTGAAGTAGAAGAACTGGTGCTAGAGGTAATAGAAAATGATCCTTTAACATTCACGTACATTTCCATTATTGCATAACAATTACAATTAAACATTGCAGCAAAAATAAATTATGCACAATTTGTCTAAAATAAATTAATTTGCAAGTTTTTTATAAAAGCTTTTTTTTGTATAATTTTTGACTGCTCATAAAATATACTTAAAGGCACTTCAAGGTTGTCCATTCTATACCGGACTCCCTGTATATATCTCATCATCATCATCATATCAACCACAGGACGTCCACTGCTGATCATTAGGCCTCCCCCATTGACTTCCAGATAGGCCGGTTGGAAGAGACCTGCATCCAGCAGCTTCTTGCGACCTTAATCAGGTCGTCTGTCCACCTTGCGGGTGGACGTACTGCTCTGCGCTTGCTGGTACGTGGCCTATATATGGCTTGCCGGTATATATATAACACGTGAGCAAAACTTACTACTGAGTGGAGCCGGCTCAATGTCAACCATCGAGGCAAGCCCAGAAGGAGATGGCTGGATAAAGTGACAAGTGACATTCGCGAAAGAAATCTTTGAAAAAGGAGGAGTAGAAAAAGGGTGAGAGGCTTTTTCCCTGCAGTGGCAGCAAATCCATTTTAAAGATTAATTTGGAATTCTACTGGTAATGGTTTATAGCTACAGATGGCGTGTTTTAATGTTATAGTCAGTGTCTTTTGTATTAAGCCTTGACACCGTCTTAGGTGACTCTCTCTTTGGCGACGTGTATGTCAATAGTCAATAGGCTTTTTTCATTTTTTCATTAAAAATAAACTTAGCCCTTTATTAGGATTTTCTCCTGTATCGTGGGTTCGTACACAAACTTACAAGTGCACACCAAGCTCTAAAATAAAAAATTGTAGATCCCATAGAGTTGTTCCGAGCGAGAATCTAAACTTCTACGCGATGCACGGCAACTGGTGGCCTATCCATGGCGACAATTACTGTGCAATCACATTTATACACAATTTTTTATATTTCTCAATACTTACAGCACTAAGTAGGTATATTTTAATTTCGAACTGTTCAAAAATTCAATAAGTTACTTTCAATCGCAATCGTCACCCTCTCCGCTGCGAGTACACCTACATAATAATATAGACGTAATAAGTTAATTAATTAAATTTAATTAAAGAGAACATAATGAATTCAAATGATATGGGCGCTCACCGTGCTCCATGGGGCACGCCTCGCGATCGCTTTAATTACCATATTACAGAAACGCTGATGAGTATTACAGATTTCTGTTTAAGAGTTACTAAAGGGAAGCTGTTCTCAACATGAGTTGGGAATGAATCCAGCTCTGATTTGGTGACAAAGAGAAATGAATGAACACTACATAGTATAAAGTGAAGTCGCTTTCTCTAACCCTATAAATGATTAAATCTTTAAAACTATGCAACGGATTTTGATGTGGTTTAAATAGAGAGCGTGATTAAAGAGGATTTATCAGTGCGATATGCGAATATGGTTGTGTGTATACAAAAGTGGGTAAAGGAAGCGTACTTACTTTAGACGGGGGAAGCGAACTTACTTTTATGATCAAATGACTTCATCCGCCTTGCTTAGGGCTAGAGGAAGTGTCGGACTATTACTGACTAAAAACCCCACCCCGTTCCTTCTCCTGCTCCAGGCCAGGGTTACAGTACATAATTACGCTTGACCCAAAACTGGACTTCAAACCTTGAATCTATAGGCTACAATTACTAATTTCCTTCAAGCAAACCGAAGCTGGTTTCTTTCAAACGATAAAAACAAAACGAGAAAATTCTATTCTATTCTATTCCTTTTTTAAATCGAAAAACGAATCGTTCTATATTTGAATTCTTCGCTTCACAAAACTCATTAGAACCCATAACCAGTAGTAACCAGTTCATTAGGAAGTCCCCTATTGAGACGCCGGGGTCCCAACGATTGTATCCGAACGTTACACTTTCATAATACAAAAGCTTATGTCTCAGAACAGTTGCCTCTTCTAATTGGTCTACTCTCGCCTAATAACTGTGATTCTATTTATAGTTTACGATTTTTCAATTTCATTTTTTTATTGGTTATAGGTTCGCGCTTGACCGTTATCTCACCTGATGGAAAGCGACGATGCGGTCGACGATGAAGCGCGCTTACCTAGAAGTAACCTATTCACTCTTGACTTAAAGATACCCGGATTGTAGCTATCAGGAAACACCGACTCCGGCAAGGAATTCCACTCCTTGGCTGTACGCATGATGAATGTGATTCCAAAACCCTTTGTACGTATATGTGGGACATCCACCATGTACTGGTGGCGCAATGCCGTACGTCTGGTAGTCCGATGATGGAACGGGCTAGGCGGAATTAAATTATGTAATTCCGACGCACCCTCCCCGAAATGCAACCGGTAGAAGACCGACAGGCTAGCAACTCGACGTCGATGCTCAAGACTTTGAAGTCTCGACTCGACAAGTGCATCATTTGAAGAGTTCATTTCAAGAGTAGTAAAACGTTTTCAGTGTCACTACACGATGGGGCGGTGTCTGGGCAACTGGCTGCCGCGCAAGGTGTATCGAACTCGCTCTCACACACGGAACAACTTTTTGTGTAATCCACAGATTGTTGTTCCGGGTCTGGGTGTGATGTGCATGTAAAATTTTACGTTTGTCAACGCACGTTTTATAAATCTAAAAAAATGAGTTTTTATGTTTAATTTAGTAGGTAGTTGGTGTTTTCTATTAGTCACTGGATTGATATTTGAAAAGTCTAGCTTGACCCGACTTCGTTAAGCACAATAGCAATAAACAGTCAGGAAAGCTAACGATATCGTATCGTCCCCATCTCGTAAAGTGTAACAAAGGTCGGAATCTCATTACCGACGGGGCGTATCCTTGTGACGTGTTCGCTACGAGATCTTATTATTGGACATAACCGCTTAATTCGCTTACTTGATTGCAGCTAGACGATACTGTAAGCAGATGTGGAGAACTGCCTCGACAAATATAGTTTGCCACGTCATTGACGCGGCAATGTCTTCAAAATCCAAAGTCTTTTTACAAGAAAAAACACCCAAGTTTTTAAAGTCTGAAGAAGAATCTTTTAGCTAGCCGGCAAAGCCAGGGTATTGATATTTCAGGATTGTTTCTTTTCCTATTTAAACTTATACCCATTGAGTGTAGGATAGCCAAGCTCTGTCACGTATGAGTTGGCTTGACCGGAGTAATACCGTCTCACAGAATACCGGCGTGAAACAATCACAGCGTTGTTTATGTTTCATGCCATTACCGAAGTTCGGAGGCGCAATCCTTGTTCTCCTCTCCCAATTCCTCCCCAATCCTTAAATCTCCAATACCATAATCCCTAAAAGGCCGGCAACGCACTCATAACTCATGACTTATTTATTGAATTGATTTAAATTTACTAACATAGCTTTAAGTTTCAGCCACTAACATAATATGGACATTAAAATTAGTCTGAAATAAATTTATTTTATTTTTTATTTTATTTTTATTTTTTATTATTTTTATTTTATAACTCCTCTGGTGTTGCGGGTGTCCATGGAGACAGCAATTGCTTACCATGGGGTAAACCGTCTGCAAGTTTGCCGTCAACAATTTCTAGATCGCAGAAAGAGTCGTTCAGTGCGTACGAATTTTATATGCACGTAGGTTTATTCAAAGTTACAGGATAGTATTATAATGATAGGCAGGAGAAAAAAAATATTATACAAGTCATCATAACAAGCAAACGTAAGGCCAATGTCGGAAGATTTCGCCTTAAAACCCTTTGCCTGGCGTAGACAAACGACTATCATAAATTGTACGCCTAAATCCCCGAAAGAACGGATTTCTCGTCCCTTGGATATGTGCAGGCACTAGCAGATCATCTTGTTCTTTGAATTTATAGATTTTCAACCATAACCACTTTACATTAAAAACGGAAATCGATTAAATAATAAAGACAGATGGGGACATTTTGGTTTGCTATGTCCTGTGCTTGTGATCCTATTGACTACTTTTTTCGAATTTTCTCGGAATTCATTTGGGTTTTTATGATGGCACAATCAGGAAGAAAGGCGTAGGAATGTTATGCTTCGTCGAGAATCGACGGACCCGACAGGAATGATACTACTTCTTCGAATACCGACGTAAAAAACGCTAGGGTTGGGTTTGGAAATTAGGTCATCGGAGGCCTTATTCTGCTTGCCTCCTTCCCTTCCTTTATTGTTAATCCCCAAATGCTCAATCCTAAAATATCTCTATAAAGACACAAAAGGTCTGCAACGCACCTGTCAACTCCTTTGGAATTGCTGATCTTCATGAAAGGCGCTGATTATTTACCATCACATAATCTGTGCTCGTCTACCGACCTCAGAATACAGAAGAAACTCTGTCCCGATAAAAAAGATAAACAATTTTTTTTTAATAATTTAGATAGGAAAAGTTTGAATGATTTTCTGAATGAACTCGTCCATAGAGGTTGAAGCAGAAATAAATCACAAGAAGAATCGCTAGATGCCGCTATAAACTTGAATATGTTTCATAATTATATGAAAACTCCATTAAATACTACAACCAGCAGTGTTCGTTTAAACTAAGAAGTTTGATTTCGAAGTGCAATATGTTAGAATTTTTAGAACAACTTTTTTAAACTAAATTAGTCAAATTTTATTTAAATTTGGAATCAGAAAGTCTACATTCAATATCGCGTAACAATTTTGGATAAAGTAATAACAGAATATTGTAGAAGTATTGAAATTGGAACCGAAAAATTGGGAAAAAATAATAAAATTGAAGGAAAAGGTTTGATAATAACACAAAGGAAAAATAAATAAAAAGAATACTGGCCATATTCCAAAACAAAAAACTGTCACTGTCATGATCGACGGTCATGTCACGAAACGATGTTACGACTTCTTTATTTACTAAGTTTGGTATTATGTATCGAATTATCCTTTTGCTATAACTATTTGGATGAAACCACAGAAAGCAATGGCAACAAATTAGGGCGGTATTCAAGAAGAGATCGCGTCAGAAGAGCCAAGAGACCAAGGGAACGGAAGGGCTTCGTCCGTCACGAGTATGACTATGACAGGAGTCCCGTAGAGTTCGATGTAGCCAGTTTCATACAGGCTGATGATGAGCTCGTCGAAGAAGATGGGATGCCAATGAAGCAAAGGAACAACAAGCGGTAAGTAGGGAAACAGGGTGAGAGTCACACGGCACATTTTATAAAAAATTGATCTGAAATGTCAGAGGAAATGTCAGAATGTCATTTCAAAAAAATATATATTGATCGGATTTTAATGAGAGCTGGAATATGAGCTATATTCGAGACCTTTTGGTCGGCTCCATCTTGCACTCAAGCTTCCGTCCCCAGCAATAAGGTGGTTAGGGGCTGAGGAGTTATGGCCACTCACCAAAAATTTATCATCAAAATGACAGATAACGAATAGGCTAAGGTTGGCATAAAAATAGTACGGTAAAAATGGGGTAAATAGAATTTGAGGGATGAATAGAAACAGAAGAGGGATGACTAAATACTAGGCCAAAATATGTTCTACGGTATCCTTATTTGATATTCTAAAAAAAAACAACAATGACAGGTCTGTTTTTTATTATGGAATAGATCGACAAACGAGCATACGGATTACTTGGTGGTTAGCAATCGGTGCCGCCCTTGGAAAACCAACGACCGATGATAAGCGTTATTTTGCCCTCTGAGAAAGGTTACGAGACTCAGGCCCTCTTTCTATCCGCACATACCTCTCCCCTTAACCACATGTCCAATTCGCCGGTGCCAAGGCGCCATAATCTGTCATAAAAAATGCAATATAGTAGTGATATCTCCACTTCTTTGTGCTATGAAAACAGTTGGTGCTTTTAGTGGAAAGTTTAAGGAAGATTGCATATTACCCAAAAGATTTCCACATGAACTTACCCCTAGTCTGTACACAGTTTGTGTGTAGATTTAGAAGGTTGATATTTTAAATACACCAAGCAGCAATATTAGTCGGCGGTGCCCTTGCGACCAGCAAATCACTATACTAATTACAAGGGCATATTCTGTGCGCTTCGAAACTTGTGACCTGCGTTACTATTGTTTTATTTGCACATAATTTCTATTTTGTATTAATAAAACTGTTTTTATTTATTTATTTTCTGATGCTGAACCTATGTTTGTATGAAATACTTTTATGTATGTTTTATTTTTTTCACTTCTTTACTTTGATAGCTTTGACTTGTAAACCAGTGCTGCCACAGACTATACCCTATATCTGCGCCCGCGCGTTCTATCAATTGTCTATGCTAGAGACAAACGTTACCGGAGCATAGAGCGTCGATGTATCGTTCTGTGGCACTACTTTTCTTTCTTGTTATTTATATTATTACACTATTATAGAATATTTCTAGTATATTAGTTTTTAATTTCTTTTATTTATATTTATACATATTTTTATATATGTAACATCTGTCTCTGTGTTCGCTGAGTGTGTCCGTGGCATCATCAGGCCTTATCAGAATACCAGTACTGGGGTATTTTTACCTTTTGGTGAATAATCGCAGCATATGCTGAGATAGTGGCCTTTTTCGCACAGGTCTTTTATTTAATTTTTTATCTTTTTTGTTAATTTTTTTCTTTTTGTATGGTTAAAATGTTTTCATAAAACCATATAGAATTTGTAGTTTCAAATAAAGGTTTGTCTTTCTTTCTTTCTATATGGTTTTCCGTGAGGTCATGGTTTCATTCTGGTCGAGCCAACCCTTTTGTAGCGAAACACGGCTCTTCTTAATTTGCCTCAGTAATTGAGAACTACAAGAGCATGTTGTGAAGTTGATGATATTTTAATCAAATACTTTTAACTAAAACCCTTGTTCTCAGAAGAACTTCGAAGAATTCCGAGTACGGCAACTTAATGGGTCTGAATGTTGATGAGAAGAAACGGGAGCGGAGTCCAGATTATCTAGGCATGAACGAAGCTTCTCCAGATATGAAATACAATCCTCCATTGTTCAAGGACACCAATTCCATTTCACTCAACTCAAAGCAGCCTAACTACAACTCTTTAGATGATCTTCATGGTGAGAAGCATGGACACGACAAATTCCGAAACACGTTCAAAGATGATTTGTTGAAGAATCATAATGCTGTCCACACTCATGAAAAGAAGTGGTAAGTTATCGTAACGGAGACGAAAATAAATGCTTTTGGAATATTAGGTTTCTATGTATACCATTTTGAAATTATTGATTTATACGCATTTAAGCTATTGGCTGTCGAGTTCCAACTTATGCCAGAAATTACACTATCGCCTTTCAGTTTCCCAAAAATCAAATCTGTTTGCTTTTTCAGCACACTAAAAAACATAAAGTTCCCGTTTTTTTCCCATAACAAATCAGAACCATTGAAGCCAAAGAAAAACAAAAAGAGAAAGCTGTTCTGTTTCAATTGTCCTAAAAAGGGCTCAAAGTATTCGGTCGAAAATATGATGGATGATGATGATTCATTGAGTCACTTCAAGATAAAAAGATCATTTGAAGACAGGCTTTGTCCTGCTTGCAAGAAGAAATTCTTGGTCAGCTTGGAACAAAATGAGAGACGCAAAAAGGCTTCCAGAAAAATGTTGCACAATAGCAGGCAATACTACCAAAACATTTCACCTGAAGCAAAATTAAAAGAGAATTTAAAGAATTTAAGAAGAACTAATGTAATAAATACATACGATATCCCAGAAATTACTAGAACCAAGAGAGAAGAAGATAGAGAAAGGCAGTTGAAAGAGTTAGAAGAAGTTCAAAGGAAGATAGACAACGTGGAGATTAATGTTCCTAGTTTTGATAAACCGGCTGAGAAGAGTCCGTACAAGTAAGCAGGTTAAGGTATTCTTTATTATTATTAAATTTAAGTTTCTTTGTTAATGTCTGTTTTAGACTAGCTGTGTATTTATGGTTGTAATAAAAATTTAGTCTTTTTTAGATGTTTTCTTTTACAACACGTTATGTTTGGCAAAGGCGACATGAGAACTGACCAAAAGATAGATACTATTGGATAGCGGCAGAAGAGCAGTGCTCTCGAACTAGCTTGCTTTTACCAGAATTAAAGGCAACATTTCCTTACAAAGAAAAATATAGTTGTACAAGTTCATGAAAATATATTTACATTTTACATCAATGCCATAATAGTTATGCACTCCAATTTTCCTATACATCATTGTCAATAAAATATTACACAATACACTTCAGGCGAAGTCTTAGTAAAATGAGAAACTCGAGGGTAGCTCGTTGCAATATATCGGAGCCTCTTAAATAGAAATATGATTCTTATAATGTCGACCTGAGATACTCTGTAAAAATACTAGGTTTTGAAATTGTATATTTCAATTGAGTTATCATATTTTTTAACAAGTGCGTTCACAACTTTCAATTAAATTTGAATTCTTCAGTTTTGGTTTCACACGCCAAGCATATTTTTTCGATTGTGTAGGGGCCATCTGCAAAAAAAACATTTAGTACTTTGTAAGTTGGTATCTGTTTAAGAAATATGGTACTTAAGTGGTAGTGTACATTCGTTAAATCAACAGCTGAGAAATTTCCTTTTTCGCATTTTTGCTTTTCGAAATTTTATGCAATAACAGGGATTTTATTAGTTTTTCAGGTGGGCTTTGCTTTGTGAGTGAATCATAGAAACACTTCATTAGATACCAAGGTTGATTTGATGGTCAAAAATTTAGTTGTTTCCACAACTGGTTGAAATAAGGCTCACAAAACCAAGGCCTTATACATTTAATATGCATCTCTTAACGAGATAGCATACCATTTCTCCGTAGATAGCGTAACTCCTACGTGAGTATCTAAGTTGTAGCCTCCTCAACACAGTGCAAGTTACAGTGAAAAGACTTTTGTCACTTACCAATATTGAACCATTGATTGCTAGGTAAGCCGGCTTCTTGTCTGGCTGACACAATAGCTTCTCGAATTGCTATAGGTATTGACACGGACATGCAGATAGGAGGCTCTCCGCATGCTGAAATATTCCACCATAGATATTATCAGATATAAAATTTCTTTAAATACAGTGAATTTAGGAAAAAAAGCGATACACCAAAGAAGTCACCTCGCCGTATGGCTGAGGTTACCGGAGGCCCAATCCTCTCCTCTCCCAATCCCTAAATCTCTAAATCCTTATCCTCAAAAGGTAAGCAACGTGTTCGTAACTCTTCCGTTAGTGCGGGTGATGGGCGGCGCTGTTTGCTTACCATCAGGTAATCCGTCTACTCGTTTTTTATCCTTATTACCTAAAAAGTTTAAAAGAAAACAAGAAACGAATTGAAATGGGAAAACAGAGAAACATAAGAGAAAGAAACAAGGTTTTTCTATGGGATAAAATACGAGCACATAGATTATCTGGTGGCAAGCAATTGGGGCTGCAGTTGGGCACCCATAATCAAGAGGTACTTACTTTATAAGCTCATGAGGTAGATATATGGTTCATACCTTATGTCTAAGACATGACCCTGACATTATTTAGTTAATTATTTGGACCTACAAAAATCAATGCGAGTTCAAAGTGTTGAAAACTTTTTTTATAATTAATTTGTTTTTATGGTGATAGGGAGCATCAGACTGTTATTGACTAACCCCCCTTCTCCTGCTCAATGCTTAGGCTGTGGTAGCTTATGTGCTTGACCCGCAACCTAGCGGAACACTTAAGAAAATATTTTAACTCATTTTATGTGCGTTACAAATAATATAGACGGTATCTAAGTAACAGTTGCTATCAGACGGCAGAGTGCCAAAAGATGTAAACAATTTCTTATTTAAATGGAAAAATAACTAACTTTATGATATTGATACTCTATACTTGCTCCAATATTTACAACTAATATTCTATTCTCGTTACAGTATCTGATGGGCTACTTGATAAAGATTAGATAATCTAATGAATGGGGAAAAAATAAGTTTCAGAAAAATTGTCTTGATTTATGAAAATATTTTTATCAGTAACATGACTTTTGTATTTAAGCCCTACACAAGAACTAAATACGAGGATCCGGTTCTTTGTTGAGAATCTTTTCTGTTATTCCTGAACGTCTCTCACGGAGTATGGAAATTGTAAAAATTGTTGTCATGCGAAGTGCATGAGTAAAAAACATTAAATTTATGTATTTTGATTTACCTTTGGACCCAAATATAACTTTAGTAGAATACGACTTCTTTCTCAGGTATACTCTGAAGTCTTGAGGAATATCCCTTGCTAGAGGCACATAGTAGTTCCATGTACGGTCATTGAGAAGTTCTCCCGTGTTGGGGTCATAGACCAAATTCTCAGAGGTCCAGTACCCGAGACCCATAACGAATGCACCTTCTACCTGTTCAACCACAATATATCGAAAAATTACATTTTGACTTTCAGCTCAGTATTGGATGCTTTATAGTAAAACATGAGCTCAATCCCATTTCGTGCCAAAGCTACATAGGAACTTGTTAATCACTAAATATTCTATACACAAAAAGTTCGTTTTATCAATTTTTGCATAAAAATAAACTTTACCTGTCCAATATCAAGATCAGGGTTCACACTTTGGCCTACATCATGATGAATATCAACTCTTAATATCTCCAGTTCTCCAGTTATCACATCTATTTCAACTTCAGCCAATGTGACACCATACACTACATACGATTGTTGATCATTGTTATCAACAAACCCATGGGTTTGAAGGTCGACGAAATTTCTATAACTTGTCTTTATTAATTCTTCCCAAGAAGGGTTGTTCAACTGCTTACGAATTGGTTCTAGTCTCTGAAGCAGCTGGTCACAGCATCTTTCTACTCCAATCATTATATTCTGTGTTGTAAGACTTCCTCCAGTGACAAAAGCATTTGGAGATGAATTCGTATTTGTTTCAGTAATTACAATCTTTTCTATTGGAATATTTAGTTTGTAAGCAGCTATTTGTGCTGCTTTAGTATTTATACCTTGACCCATTTCAACTCCACCGTGACATATAGCGACTGTTCCATCTGCTTGATACACTGCAAGGTTAACGTCAAAATATCTAGGTGATATATGATTCCATTTGAGGAATACAAATCTTAGACCTCGTTTCTTCCACCGATTTTCAGCATTGAATTTATTAACTGCATTTTTTCTCGTCGTATATTCTGCGGTAGAAGCTAGAGTTTGGAACATTCTTCTGAGATCATTGTGTTGTGGGTCTAGATTTGCAAGTCGCAGTTCTGTTGGGTCTACTGATAGTTCATAAGATATTTGCTCCATCATCAATTCAACCATTGATATGTTTTCTAGACTTCCTGAAATGTAATAGTCACCCAATAAAATATGCGTATAACATCGTTAAAATATTATCTCTGAAATAAGCAATAATTACCTGGAGACCGAAACCAAGTATTCTTGGCAGTGTCTGTAATAGTGTTAAAACACTTATAGTGCCAGGAACTAGGATTGTAGCAGTTGTTGTATACAATAATACCATTCCGTGACAATTCTTCATTGACGGCATAACCATTGTCCTCATACAAATTGTAGTCAATGTATTGGAAAACGCCTGACTTGCTTACACCAACCTAAAAATATAATCCCGTAACGCTTCGAGCGGTGGCTAAGCAACAACATGCTGTGCAACGTGTGGCTGGTGTAATTTTCGCACGATACATAAATGATGTCTGTGTAAGATATATGTGCATTCATAATAATAATATATTTGTAAACAGGTCTTAAAAATGGTACCTCAAAATCAACAGAACTTGGAAATCTTTTACCAAAGCCTCTGATATTTGTTTCCATCCTATTAATGATTCTACATGGGCGGTTCAATTTCAATGCTACCAAACTGGAGGCAACTGCTACTTGTACGATACGTGATATTTTGAAACCGTACGCGCCACCAACACGTCGAACGTGAACATTGATCCTAAAAAGAAATAAAAATAAAATTGGGTTTGAAAAAATTACTATAGTGAAAAAAAATATCTGTCAGATTAATATTATACTAACTTGTTTTGATCTATTTTCAATGCCCGATACACCATCAAGTGAATAGCTGTTGGCCATTGTGAAGTTGCATATACATCAAATCCATCTTCTAAGGGATTTGTTACACTAACTAAGGTTTCCATAGAAATGTAGTTCTGCGATCTAATTGTATTAGTTCCCTTAACAACTTTAGCAACATCATTGCCTCGTGATGTAGCTTTAAATTCTGCATACAGAGTGTTTCTTGCAGGAATTTTTTTAGCTACATTTACATCAGCTACTGGTTTTTCTAGATCTGTATAATTAACTTTGACCAGATCAACTGCTTCATATGCAATGTCTTGAGAATGAGCTACTATCAAACCTAGCGGTTGATTGTAATATTTTACTTGGCCGCTGCAGAAAACTTCTTCGTTCATATGATATGTGCTATAATAGTCTGTTGGTGTGAAGGAATTTAAACCAGGGATATCTTTTGATGAATAGAATGCTATTACGCCTGGATGAATCTAAAATGTAAAATGATGTTATTTTGATTATTGCCAAAATTCAGTTGTAGAACTGTTAAGACATACCTAATGATTGAATTTATTAATGAATAAATATTGTTAAAATACACTCACAAGTGCTTTTGAAGGATCTATAGATACTATACGACCTTTTCCAATAGTGCTAAGAACGAATGCGCCATGCACTTCTTTGGGAAATGTTGGAATATCATCAGTATACTTCGCTTCACCGGAACATTGAATCTGGAATTTAAATATTGGCAGAAAATTGCAGTACTTTATAATAAAGAATATTATTTGTAGGTTTGGTGACATCTTTTAATATTTTATTTGAAATAAAATTATGTTTTACATAACGCCGTAC